ACCGTGTTCTAAATAAAAACAAGAGCATGTGATAGAAGGAATATTCTCCATATTAAAAACAGTTTTGTTCTAACCAACAACTCAAATTTATATGCCATTTTATATGACATTTATTGCTATATACTTAAAGCAGAAGCAGATAGTTTCTCAGATCTTGAAAATATATATTTTTAATTGAACTTTAGACCTGTGAAATAATGCCAACCAACACATATCAGTGATTCAGCATGCACATTTAATAATGTTAAAGCTTAATATGTAATAATTAAATTGTAAATCTTACCATTTCATGAATGAGTGCACTATTCTATGCTTCTGAATGCCTGTATTTAAATTTCTGTCGTGTTTCATCTTGTGCAAACAGCCAAATTGCTTATCGCTGCAAATCTTCTCATGTAGCATTTTGTTAGGACACAGGGTTACAATGTAACCTGCTCACCTAATGATTATTGCTTGAAATATTTATATTATTTGCTAATTAATAACCTTATGTAAAAACTCTGAATCTGCGTCTGATTTCGGAGTCTGCTACTGTGCACTGGAGGTCGCATTTCGGTCACTAGCGCATGCTTAGAGAGCCTTTATGAATGAAGGAATGAAATACGCGTTTTCCATCAAGGCAACCCGGGGTGCTGAAATATAATTGCCTAAAGTGGCAATGGGGGGGTTAAAGAGACCAAAACAAAAACAGACATTCCGGCACATAACTCACATTTTCAAAGCAGAATAGCTGATTTCAGCATTGTTTTTCAGATAAACAAGAATGTTCACTTGCCCTGTTTCTTAAATATCTACAAACATATTTTATTTTTATGCTTTAGAAGAGTCAAAATCCTACATACAGCACCTTTAAATAAACTTCTGAATTGAAAGAAGAAAAAAATATCTTATAACATTCAACAATGTAAAAACAAATTGCCTTGACATGTCCTACAAAAAAAAAAAATAATAATGATAATAATATTACCTTTCCATAACCTCCTTTCCCTAAAACACGGAGAAGCTCAAAGCACTCCGGACGGATGTTCTCTGTGCCTTGGTTCACATTGTCCTCTGATATCTCAATCTTCTCACAGTCATCCATGTTACTGTAATAACAACAAACCACAAAACTATTGATCATGTGCATCATTCAGAATCAGCATCAAATTCGTGAATCTGTTTATTGCTCCCAAGTCCATTTTTTGTCATGAGTGGGGGTTTTTTTATTTACACTTGTGCATTCTTGTGAACATTTTGTACATTTAACCTTTTAAACCTGCAATATTTCCTGAATGATATAGACCATTTCAATATGGTCATGTCATTGGCCCATGAACATTTCCTTGTTATCAAACTATTTTCTAATTGTAAGAATAAGCAATTCAATCATAACTTAAAGTTAAAACAGCTGTCATAACATTATTTAATATGTGGCTGTTTTTGGATTCTTCTCTAAAAATGTAAAATAGGACATACGTTGGGAACACTGTTTTTGTTTACATCCCTCAAAATGGTCTATTCACCTTATTCTCTGGGCGAGCGGGCGCTGCCATTTGAATCATTTTGGCTGGGGACTTCCGGTCTCGTTTAATTCCACTCAGTTTTGGATGTTAAAAACAGCTTGTTTTACTGCTTGACGTTGCAAACTGATATTTTATTATTCTATTATTCTACTTTGTCAGTATAATGATGCAAACACTTTGTGGAGCAAGTAATTTGACTGTTTTCAGTCACTTATTATTCCTAGTCATTTCTCTCATAGGCAACTGGATCAGAATTTCTAAAACAACTACAAAAACAAGCGCACGTCCGCATTGAAGAATAAGGTCAATAGCAAAGAGTCATACATACTTTATTAACAGGTTCTGATTCAAAATGTACATTCAATTTGTAATTTTGTAATTATTTTTACAAGTCAAGTTCAGTAATTAGTTCATGTACCAGAACTGTTCATAAACAAATTTCAATAAAGGAAAATTAAAGTAACAAAGTTTTTCCAACATGGATCTTTTTTTAAATGGTCAAATTCAGTTGTTAAAACTGTTTACACACACAAATCCCATAATGCAAATAGCTTTGGTTTCATTACAATAAAAATACCAAAACATCACTTTGTCCCTAACTTTTAATTACTTTTATAAGTAAAGTTCAGTAATTGTTAATAGATAAATCTGGGACATAACCTCAACAATGGGGTATATGCACAGCTACTGTTTTTCAGCCAATGATGAACTTAGAGTGAAAGCTTTATGTGATCATTTTCAATTTCATTGAAAATAATTTCATAAGGTTTCATTAGGTTTCATAAGGTGGATGGAATTAAACACAGTGCTTCTTGTCTGGCCTGAGACCTACTTCATATTGTATATCTATCAGGCAGTGAAAATCACAGATTTTTAAAAAGAAATCAGACCTCAGACATGGCAATTTCATAATGAAAAAACAGTTCAACTGAAGTGCTGAGGCTGGCTGGCTGAAATTAAAAGTCTGTGAATATACCCCATTTCAATACAAAATAAATTGAGCTTTTCTTGTTTTACTTTTGAACACTAAATGCAAAATTCATTATTCATTCATTCATTTATTCATTCATTTTTTTTGGCTTAGTCCTTTTATTCATCAGGGGTCGCCACAGCGGAATGAACCGCCAACTTATCCAATATATGTTTTACACAGCGGATGCCCTTCCAGCTGCAACACTGGGATCGACGTCCATACACGCTCATTCACACACAAAATTAATTACACGTATGCAATTATTTTTATGTGGGTGTATAGGAATGGATACTAGAGGTTGATTCATATGTAAATACAGAGAAATTGTCATTATGCAAGTAGTAGTTTATATACTGTATGCATACATGTGTAAATAATAACATAAAAGAATGAATATTGTTTCTGATTACCGACTTATCCATGAATATCATTTTAGTTAAAAAATCTGCTCAGGCCTTGTTATGTGAACAATTTTAGTTTGTTTTTTATTATTAAAAACAACATTTCCAAACAAACTGTCAAACTAATTATTATAAGTATTCAAAAATAGGCATTGTTGGTGGTTATCATCAGAACTGATACTGGAAAACAAACATATTTGAAATTTCTGATTTTCTATTTGGACATTTGTGGTTACTTAAATCAGAAACATACTAAATGTTTATTAAACAACATACTTACAACTCAAAGCCACTGCACTGGTCCATGAGCTCATTGATCTGAGCCTGCAGAAAAGAGGAGTTAAATGCAGGATCAATAAAAGCTCAATTCTCTGCAACAGCTCTGTTGGGTGGGGAGATGATCAATGCACGAGCAGATAACGTTACGAGGCAACAGTTGGCAGCTCTTCCAGTCTGAACACGAAAGCGTAAGGGCTCAGATTTCGCAATACTATTCCCAGAGATCCCATACGGTGACATGCACCATCTATGGTGCTGCAAACCTAAATGACTGATCCTTGCAAATATTAAAAGACTCACTATCAATGTCATGTTATCATTTAAAGCAATATGCACGAGGAATTTAATATACATCTAATGCAAACTGCATTGCCATGTAGTACAAGAAAGGCAACCAATACGTCCAGCCCTTTAAATTGCCACAACTGTAACGCTACTGTACTACTATACTGTAACACTGCCAAGTAGTCAGCTTGCACACAACCCTATTATCTACACCTCCTATCTTATACTAGTACACAGAAAGCACGTTTCCGCTACTAAAACTGTTATATCTCTGTCACATGTGCTGACAGGCATAATATCGCCGTTACTCAGTACAATAAACACACTGTACGGTGGTCTGTTAGCATGTTAGCATAACACACAGTAGCAGTAGCCACTGCCTGGGCCTCAGGCCTGCGCTCTGCCTGCCCGGGGTGGAGAAGCATTCCCGCGTGCAGTTTACTCTAAAATCAGCCGTCTCTTACCTCCTCCAGCTCGTCATCGGACACATTCTCCTCTGGCTGGTCCAGATCGATGTCGAAAACGCCAGCCATCGTTGGTTTCGCGCCTGGAATCACTTCAAACCGCGTGTGGGTCTCGCGCTTCCCGCCTCATGGACATGAACGCACCGTCGCCATGACCGGCATGGACGCGAACTGAACTGACTGACAGACACCCCCGCGCGGAGGAATGCGGGAAAATACTCGCGCTCCGCTTACAAACGGCCTTTATTATCTGACGGGGTGTGTAACTTTTAAAGATTGGAGCAGTATATTATGACATAATAAATATATATAATATAAATTATTATCAATTACTTTTAATATTATCTATCTATCTATCTATCTATCTATCTATCTATCTATCTATCTATCTATCTATCTATCTATCTATCTATCTATCTATCTATCTATCTATCTATCTATCTATTGTTTGCTTGAAATGTGTAGTTTATATATATATTATAAATATATATTATTTATATATATATTAATATATATAATTACACTTTTGATTAAATAATAAAAGTACTGTTTGTTACACAAACTTAAATTTATGTTTAAAATATTTAATAATTAATAGAACAGTAGATAAAAATATACAATTAAAGGTTATTTCTGTAAAAATATATATGTTATTATTTAACTACAAATAGATGATTACATATGGGGATTATAGAGGCTAAATCAATAGATTTTTTCTAATCAAAATGTAAAAATATGCTTTATTTCTCTAAGAATACAGAAAATTTCAAAGTTGTACAATTGGAGAATAAATAGACCCATAAAGGCTAGAAATAATCCAAAAACGTATTTTAACTACGATGTCTTACAAAATAAAAGCAATATAAATAAAGTAAAAAAGAAGGAATAACATTAAAATAAAGAAAATGTAGAAATAAAGAATATTTCTTTCATTTTGAATGTGATTTGTACATGAATACAAAAGCAGAACAAGTGAGTCGCAGAAATCTAAATGTGTTTTGTGCGCCATCTGCTGGTGGTACTTTTTTACTCAATGTCCCATCATGCATCAGTACCGATGCTTACAAACCTTCACCCGCCTTCAACCGTAAACACTACTGTCAGATGTTCAGCTTCTACTTCATAAAAGTCTGAAGCAGTAACGTTAGAAACGTAAAGTTATTTGATATTGTTTATGTCTTAGGGTTGTTCTGTCTCTCCTTACATTAATGTCACCTCGTTAATTTAAGTTAAACCTAGTTTAACTTAACGTTATATTAACTTTATACACAATGCTATGCTGTCGCGATGTTTAATTGCTGAGATATGTCGGTTGTAAGCTTACAGTTAGGTCAGTGTGGAAACCAAATAGGACACGAGCTATTCAGTGTCATAAGCGATGATTCTAATGGACCAAACAGAAAGAAGTACAAGCAATGCAGCGACGAGAGATTCTTCTATCAAAACTCCGCTGGAGGTATGTTTAGCACACTTATGTTTGCTAACACATCTCTAATAACGTTATTTGATATTTATTAGCTTCTTGTGGTTTTAGTATAGTGAAACTGTAATAACCATTGTTTTTGGAGTAGCATTTGTAATAACAGTTTTAACGTAACGTTACTACAAACGCCATGGTTAAACTATATGAAACGGTAGCATGGTTGATTGGTGGTTGGTTTAAATGGGGGTAACGCAAGTAACGTGAGTTACGTAATAATATTACTTTTCTAAGTAACCAGCAAAGTAACACATTACAAAAATGTAATATTTGAGTTTTCTAAAAATGTATTGTGAGTTACTTTTTAGTCACAATGAATCACACAGTCAATGAGGGAATGTGTTCATTAATTTGATCGCATTGAAGAAAAGGAAAAGAGGATTGCCTCAACAGACAGTGATTTTACTTAAGACAAATAGGACAACAGTAGCAAACACATTGCTTTAAACTTTCATTAGTCTCTTTATATGACATGTATAGCTCTGGGCTCAGGAAGTTCTCAGATAAAATTATCCTAAAATATTTAGTTTTGTATACAGATGTATATGATGTTTTAGAGGTAAATGAAGGTGTAGGTTATACATTGCATCCTCGTTTTAAAAAGACAGTACTATTCTATATAAAAAAGAAAGAAAAAACGTAAAAGTAACTGAAAAATAACGTAACACATTACTTAAGTAATTTAACTAGTTACTTTTTTGAGGGGGGGAGTAACTCATTATTGTAATGAATTACTTTCAAAAGTAACTTTCCCCAAACGCTGTTTAAATACTGTTTTAAAGTAAAACCATGATTAATTTTCATAACAAGGTCATTTTATGTCTTTCAGAGCTCGTGGCACGGTCAGTACTTGTTGATATGGAGCCCAAAGTTATCTCACAGGCCCTAGCCAAGGCTTCAAAATCTGGAAGATGGAGATATGGAGACAAAGCACATTTCTCCCAGAAGCAGGGCTCTGGAAACAACTGGGCTAATGGGTAAGAGGATCTGCTCTTGAGTGTTTGATGTGTTTGTGATGATGTCTGAGCTTAATGTAGTTTTCTGCAGGTTCTGTGTTCATGGTCCTCGTCACAAGGAGGATGTGGAGGATCTAGTGCGGATGGAGGTGGAGCGCTGTGATCGTCTGGCCGGGATCTTCACCATGATGAGTGTTGCAGGCGGCACTGGCTCTGGTGTGGGCACCTACATCACTCAACGTCTGAGGGATCTTTACCCACAGTCCTTCATCTTAAATCAAGTGACCTGGCCGTATGGAGCTGGTGAGGTAGTGGGCTTTTTTTTGCATTTAAATTAGGGCAGTCTATGTATTTTTTTTAATCTCAATTAATCCAAACATTTATTGTAAAATTAAGCTCAATTCTTGTTTAACTTGTTTATTTAGTCACCTTTTGTCATATCCAGCAAAGTCTTTAAACATGTATACTTGGAGACTTAGAACTTATTTTAACTCAATTATTTTGGGGGTTTATATGATGGGTACGCAATAAAAAAAAAGACTGAAAAATAATGTGGCCAAGGATACATTCAATATTTTGTTAGTGAACAGTTAACACACATACATTATTTATCTGCACATTTACAATAACACGATCATGTATTTGCATGATATAATGCAACATAAATTATACATAATTCACTGGTAACCGATGTTACCAGTTTGTTATGTAGCTTACTATGTACATCAGCAGACTTGAGACGCAGGTAAGACAAAAACAAGTAAATAACAGGGTGAGAATGTGGTAAAACCTGAAAACGTGATAAAAATCAGGTGAGGACTTTTTCTGGATTGCTTTTTAAAACTGTCGGTTGGATTAGGGAAGTGGGTGGCTGGGTCAATCTGTGCTTTTGAAAACACTATTGGTTGGCTTTAGGGAAGGAGAAGGGTGGGTCTGTTGATTGGTCAGTCAGTGGCCTCTAGTAGATTTACATGAGAACAGCAGGTGTGAATGGCACTCGCCAGTGAAATTTGTGATCTGAAAAAAACGTACACAGCGGCCTCTGGTGGATTCGCAAAAAAACAAAAACTGCTAAAAAAAAAATTAGCTCCTAGCATGTATTTGGCACTCTCCAGAAATATACATAGCGGTGCGTTTTCAGAATGAGCCTGTGTTGATTTATTTATTTTTTTATTTTAGTATAATTTTTTTTCTGCTTTAAATTATGTATAATATTGAAATTTTAAAGAAAATACTTTGTTACACAAATATGACAGTTTTAGAGATATTTTAAATCAAATGTCTAAATATTAGACTACTGGGTGGGGGATACCCAAAAGGTTTTTTTATTACACACTTTAGATTGGTCTAATTTGGCCAATGTAAAATCTATTGTACAGTTATATTCTAAATATTTGTTCATAAAGCATCTGCCTGACATTTTTATAATATTAAACTCATTTTCAATAAGCTTTTCTCAATCATGAAGTGATAAAAATAGATATTCAAACCCCTGCTCTGTAATAACCTTTAATCATTGTCAACAGGCGGTTCATTACGCTGTGGCGACCCCAGATTAATAAAGGGACTAAGCCAAAAAAGAAAATAAATGAATCAATGAATATTATGTCAACAAAATGAAATTATTGCATTTGATTATGCCACATTTTACACTGACCCAGACACATTTACACACTTTACAAGACGAGGCATACTATTTTGGTGTTTGCATCAAATTATGTTTGACAAAAGTGATTTGAAATAAATATGATTAATAATAAAATTATGTTAATGATAACTTTTGTGAAGACAAAAATCTAAATGAGGGTAAAGCTATGTTTATTTTGCCTTCAGTGCCAAATATTACATTAGTTTTTGTTCAAATGTAAATAAAAGCTGAGAAATATTTTTTTTCAACAATGATACCTCTAGTACATCATCTTATTATCTTTAGGGAGAAGCCTGAGTCATTTCCATTTCCCAAAAAAACTGGTTGGTAGAATAAAAGTAACTTTAAGTCAGAATTTGTATACACATGCACACATTTTTAGTGGGTCCTTCCTTAAACTATGTAATAGAAAAACAAACTTCAGAAGTGTGCATTACATTTTCTTGTTTAGCTTTTTCAAAAATACAAAAAAAATCACTGTGATTAATCAGCTGGTAAAGTACACAGATTTTTATTATTGAAATATTTTAGATTTACTTTATTCACCTGTGTTGTCTTGCAGTTTTAAAAGCCATAGTAAACCAACAGAAATGTAAAGATAATATTTCTTATATCAAATGTTTTGAACTATAATTAAATAAAAGGTTCATTATTTTTTAAATTTCACTCTAATAACTGTTTTTATACTCTTTTACAGGTGATTGTGCAAAACTACAACTCTGTTCTGACTCTGTCCCATCTCTACCAGCTCTCTGATGCTATTCTGGTTCATGAGAATGACACGGTGCACAAAATCTGCAGCCAGCTGATGAACATCAAGCACATCTCCATCAGTGACATAAATAAAGTTATCTCTCACCAACTGGCCAGCGTCCTTCAGCCCGTTTACACCGCTCATTCACCCGACTATTACAGCAGGAACCCCATAGGTACAAATGACTAATTTTTCATCAATAACAGACAGTCAATTCACTGAAATGACACTTATTCAGTTGTGTTTATCCGCTGTGTACAGGGGAATTGCTTACCTCCTTGGTGTGTCACCCAGAGTACAAACTGCTCAGCTTGTGTAACATTCCTCAAATGTCTAGCACGTCACTGGCCTATAGTGTGTTTAACTGGCCTGGTTTGCTCAAGCATCTGCGTCAGATGCTAATTGCTAGTGCTAGGATGGAGGAAGGTGAGTGCTATGATGACGTAAGCCAATGTACTGTTATAAAGGAATCTTTTATATATGACACAAATTGAAGAATACTAAAGCCCCAGTCAGAGCACACACTTTTTATTGTCGATTACGAAAGTCATTATGTCAGATTATGTGATTTTTGTCTTGATAAATTTTGACTTGTCATTGGTAACAATAGTGCTAGTCAACATTTTCTTTCACGATTAGTCATTCTGTGACGTCTACAACAAGCATTATTTCCCAAAGCAGTCACAAGTGTTCTATAACAAATATTTCTTATCTCAATTTCACTTTTTTAATCTTATTTTAATCTCAATAAACACTGATGCTTGCAGACAACTAATAACTACATTATTTAAAGGCATTCGTTACAACATGGATTGGATCAAACTTATGATTAATTTTTAATATCAAGATATTTTTTTTGAAATCTTAATGTATATTTTCCTCCCCTGGGTTTCTTACTGTCCTTTGCCATGAGTAAGACGCAGAAAATGAAAGGACATAAGCAGCAGCAAGGAAAAATCAGATGCTCAAGACATAATCTTTAAAATAAAGACATATTTAAAAAATGAGCAAATATATACCTGAGATTTGTGATACAAGCACAAACAAAAATATCATTTGTATATTTTTCTTAGAAACGAATTTCGTTTGCTATAATTTGTATAATTAGTTATCTTTAAACAAGAATAACGAATAACAATTGAGGTGACATGCTTTAAAACAAGTCCACTATATGCACCAAAACACTAATTGCCATGAGATTGTGTTGGTTTGTGAAATAAAATAAAAATGTAGCCTTGATAAAATTAGTGAAATATTCATAGTTTCAGAGTAGCCTATATTAAACTGCTTACCCTGTTAATGACAAGTTGAATCAGCAGGAAATGCTTTTGCAACGTATTTGCAGCACTGAACATGTTCCCAGATTTTCTCGGAAGATCAAACTCGATTGGAAGGATGAGAGAATTCAGAAACTTGTGAAAATGAAGATGTTTGTGCCAGTCTTTCAGATAAAATTGCTTAAAAAGCCCTTAATATTTTAGAAAAAGTAGTTAAAGTTTGCATAACTAATGACTGATATGACCCACCCATTCAATTATGCAACCTATATTTTTGATTACCTGGCCATCGTAATAACGGCAGCACCCATTGAGATAACCAAGAAAAAATGTGCTCTTATTGCTCACCCACAATATGGAACTCATCGTGAAGAATGAGAAAAAAATTAAACATGCAACATGCTTTCTGCCATGGTGTCATGAAGTGTCACAGGCATGGGCTTGGTTATCGTGAACTATGTCTCATTACGCAAGAAGAAGCAATTGAATCTTGTGTCACGACACCCTACGTCAAGGAAAACATGTCGAAATTGTGGCAAATTCATGTGATCTGACCGGGGTTTACATATTACATTAAGGGATAGTTACCCAAAATAAAAACTCATCATTTACTATTTACTTGTTCTAAACCTGTTTAAGTTTCCTTGAAAACAGATATTTTAAAGAATGTTGGAAACTGGTGGCCATTGACATCCTCTCTTTTTTGTGCCAGTTTCCAACATTCTTTAATATATCTTCTTTTTTTCACCTGAGATTGAGTAAACGTTGAGTAAATGTAATTTCTTTGTATGTGAAACAAGCCTTTCATCAATTATCAACTAAAAAAATCTTTCTTAAAGGGATTGACTGGACGGTGAATGTCCCATCAGTGGTCCTATCTGGAGCAGAGAGTGTGACAAACATCAGGCATAAAAGTTTCAATTCGTCACTGGCTAATCTTTTAATACTTAGAGGGAAAGACGTGTCTACTGCAGTTACAGGCGAGTGGACTTCCAATATACTTCCAGCCATTTACATGCATTATTTTAATCGGAGAACATTCTTGGTTAGACTTTACGGAACACTTCTTTCAATTACTTTTGTATAAACACATCATGTTCAGTACCATCAGAAATTTATTCCAGGATTTTTTTTCTTAGACTCCTTTTGTAAAAAAAAAAAGTAATTTTACTTTTATATTAATAAATTGTTTCTTTTCATTGCGTCTTAAGACAAATAGCTAAACATAAACAGGAGGCTGAAATAGTTTTTTATTTTTAGAAGAAATTATTTACTCTTAAAATAGTTCCCATCAATTTCAGTAGAAGTTTTTTTTTTCTATACAGTGGAAGTCAATGGGAAAAAGTTTGGTTATCAATAGACCTAGGACTTATATGGACATGACCTCAATCATTTTTAGTCTTGTAATAAATATTTACAAATTCACAAATAACCTTAAACACGGTGTTGAGGTTTTTAATTGTACATTTACCTAATAGGACATTTAGTAGTGTGTATATAGGAAATTTTAACATTAACCTTTTTAACATACTTGTACCTTTTTAACATCAAATTACAGATCTAAATAATTTGTCTTTTGAAAATGTTTATGACTATTTACATTACTATTCTGCTGTATAATAATTATATTATTAGTGGCATAAAATGAGATAATGAGGGATATTTATTTTGATAGTCCATTAAAGTATTAGTAGACTATCTGCTTAATATCTGCTGATACTTCTCCTTCAACAGACATTTAACTGACTATAAGTAACTTTGCAAGTACATGTCAACTTACACTAACCCTAAGCCCAACCCAACAGTCTACTTATAGTCTAATGAGAAATTGTTGGCATGTAGATGCGATGTAACTTAAATTCAACTAACGTACTATCGAAATAAAGTGTGACCTAAAATAATCTCAATATGACAATAATATCGCTTATCACAATGAGTAAAGGTTAGTTTAGAAAAATGATATTTTATAAGTGACCTGAATGAGAAGCTAACAAGCAAGAATTCTTCAATCAACAGATGGATTTAAGGATCCCTTGTTATATGTGCCGTGGCTTAAAGCAGAGAATAGTTTCAGCACATGGAGCTCGCCTATACCGTTCAATGGATATGAGAAGTCGGCCACTTTGGTCAGTAACAGCCAGTCGCTTCTGAAACCCCTGGACAATATAGTTAGAAAGGCTTGGAACATGTTTGCTTCAAGGTGAGAAAGACATTTGAATAGCAAAATTTGGCTAACTTTATTGCTTCATAAAAATGCGCTTGTTTTCTTGTAGGGCCTATATTCACCAGTATACAAAGTTTGGAATCTCGGAGGAGGATTTTCTGGACAGTTTTACGGCACTAGAACAGATCATCTCCAGCTACACACATCTTTGACATCATAAAGACTGAAAAAGCTACTTTTGCATGATGCCAAATGAGTGGCCTCTGCAGCAGTTGTATTTATAATTATAAGATGGGTAAATTCATCTTTTTGTGTTAAGATATTTATTTTGTTGTTAAAAATTATACATTCGAATGGAAATGAAATCAGCAAAGTAATTATGATTTCTGTTCACTTCCCCCACCCCCAGACATGCACAAATGCTCATTGTGCATCATGTCCGCAGTGGTGAGGCTAAACATCCTCGCTCAGTCAAATAAGTTAGGAAAATGATTTTATTTTGGGAGAGAAAAAAAAAATACTGCATGTTAAATGGGACGAGTGTAAGGCGTATGAACATGATTTAATACTAGAGTACCCGCGGGGTCCTAAAAGCATTGAAATAGTCTTAAATTTGATCATCTCAAATTAAGGCCTTGAATATGGTTTACAAAGTCCTTAATTTCATTAAAAAGGTCTTATTTTATTCATTTATTTTTGCCTTTCCTAGGATTAAGTACATACCATAACAAAATGAACTGTTACTAATGTAGGCTAATTAAAAATTCATGCACGTCATAGCAGAAAGTGCGAAAGCGTGAGCACCCGTTACTATGGTTACTAGACAAGTGAGGTACAGAACAAGATTGTTGCTAGCCTAGTTTGTCAGCTAAAATGGGAAAGTGTCGGTTTTATCTGTTGTGGCCAAGAAATCCAAATTACGTTTAAGTCAAGCCTGTGACTGGAAATGACCACAACGCCTACTGCTGTTGGTGCCAGAAATCTTTTAAGCTAGCGACGATGTGGGCTCTAGACTCCCATATGAGGAGTGCCAAACACACCGTGTGTAGTACTGCTCGTCAGCTCCAGCCAGCTATTGTGCAGTTCTGTGCACCGGAGACCTCTTCGATTACTGAAACAGGTTGGCTATCAGTAATGAAGAAATTTCTACATTGGAAGCATTGCCACCACAGCCAAGGAACATCCTATCCTTACTGTGGCTTAACAACAACTTTGCGGGCAGAGGTGATGTAGGTCTTTAAAACAATCTCTGAGCACCACTCTTACACATCGAATGAGAACTTCAAAACCATGTTTGCTGACTCTGAGGTTGCAGCTACATTCTCATGTGGAAGCAACAAAACTGCATATATTACTAAATTTGTATCAGCTCCTTTTATAACTAAAGAACTGACTGACCAGGTAAATAAGGCCAATGGGATTGTGGTCATGTTTGACAAGAGTCTCAATAAGATGACGAAAAGTAAGCAGTTGGACCTTCATATTCGCTACAGGGTGGACGACGATTGAATATAACTGATAGTTAAAATAAAATGTATTATTTAATTCCAGTAGCTCACTTATATATAATTATTTTCTAGAGTTCACAATTTATACAGGTTTGCCATTTTCCCCTTATACTTCTGTCGGAATGAGTACGAAGTTGGCATTGAATTTCATTTGAAATGGTCTTAAAAAGCCTTGAATTTCATTTGGAGGATCCCAGGGGTACCCTGAATACTGACGTTTAACAGCACCCTTTAGGGCCCTATCATACACCCGGAACAATGCGGCGCAAGGCGCGTTGCAAATGTTATTTGCTAGTTTCAGCTTGACGCAAGTGCCGTTTTGCTGTTTTGCACCACGTTGTTTAAATAGCAAATGCATTTGCGCTCATGTGCGCACATAGGTGTTGTAGTCTAAAAAAGAAGGCGTTCTGAGGCACACTGCTGGCGCGTTGCTATTTTGAGAAACTATAATAGATTTTTCATTAGACCAAAACAAACCCAGTCTAAACTCCAGCTCAGAGTTGCGCCTCGCTTACACACTGCTTAATAGCCTAACACACAAGATGTAGAGCAATACGCAAATATCTTTACATATAAAATTTTAAATATTAAGGATATAATAAGAATATATAGGATATAAATATAATGGATTAAAATATTACAAAACATATTATTTTCTAGCCTACATAAATATGAAAAACCACTGCTTTTATGCCTCCATCTCGGGAGGCTTTTTCAGTTCAATTTGCTTTTGTATAATATTATTATTAGCAGTATTATTTATTATATCCATATTTATATTTGTTTTATTAAAAACAAGCTTAGATTTGCCCACCTGTCAGGTTTTAGACCATATGGGGCACAGCATGTGTTTTAGGATATAACTCAGGTTTTTGAACACACTTCGTTATTATTGTTCATTTATTCATTTTCTGGAAATTAGAACTAAATTTAGAAATAGTTTTGAAACAAATCTTTGCGCTTAACAAACAAAATTAATTATTTATAGGCTAATTGATGTCTGTGCATAAAGGTTTCCCTATCTACGAGAGCTTAAGTGAAAGTAGATAATTTATCTCTCATTCTCACGCGGTAGATGCTCTGTTCAACTGTTTTCTGTCAAAAAAACTGTTAACTGTTTGCTTGTGAAATGCTCAGTTTTTTCACTTACACTTACCTTACGTCCTGTAAATAGCAAATGTGCTTATGGTGCGACTCAGCTGGCTCTTAAAGGTAATGGGAGATGAGACTCTGATTGGTTTATTCTCAAAACACACCTATAACTGACTAAGAAAATAAACTCAACCCTTTTAGACCATGCGCCACGGCGCAAAGCGGGTTTTCCCGTCCTTAAATTAGCAAAAGTGGATTCTGACACGTCCTGAATGCGTTTGCGCCCTGCGCTTTCCATTTTGTGCATGGACCATTAAAAACAGAGCCCTTTGTCAACGTCTCAAAAAAATATGAGTTTAAAGCCTGTCCCGTGCACAGAATGGAAAGTCCAATCATTGCTCCACACTTTTTGCACATATGAGTTCTTTTTTTCATTATTAGACTTGATTTGACACACCAGCTCTGAAAATGGAGAAAAGCACTGTCCAGCTGACAACTCTGATTCGCTGGTCAAGAGAAACGGTGTGAAAATAATGCAAAACCTTAATCATGTTTATTTCTAAAATGCTACTACAAAGGTTCACTACAAAAAGTGAAACAGGAGCAATCAAACATTTTAATTAGATTTTAGATCTGACTTATTTTTAAAACAGATGTCTTACCTTTCAAAAATGAATGTTGTCTGTCACTGCTTTTTAAGGGAGGACCCAGAAGCAGTATGAACAGGGTACAGTTTATTTACAAAACAGGAACACAAGAGGATGAGGCAGGAAGACACAATAGGGCAGGGCACATATAGGAAAACTGGCTGGTCAAGAAAGTGGGAGCTCCAATCTAGGTAGCAGCTCAAGGAACCACAGGCTTCACATTGGAAAAGGTAACTCGTGAAGCACCAGAAGGTCTGTCAGAACTGAAGAATCCGTTGTCAGGGATTACTCAGGAACCAACAAAACAGACACACAGAAAGATAGGGCAACATGAGAGGCAAAAATATCAATCAAAAAGGGAATACATATTAAAAAACTAAAGTTCTAGAAAAAATTAACTGTAACAAAAGAATAGAAGTACAATCAAAATAAATGTCAACAATTTTGCTGATAACTTAAGAAAGTAACAAAATTTAAAAAAAAAAAAGGTTATTGAAGTGTAAATCAAGAGCTGTACCAGGGTTAACAAGCCTGCAGTTTCCTGCAGAATGGGGCTAGTTTTAACCACTTGCTGTGGGCTGTGTTTTTTTTTTTTATTCCGTGGGTTAAAATATTGATATATTACATCAATTATGTTTATTTAATTGCATTGAAATATTTTACTCTACCAATTCGTATTCTATCAAAACCCCTAGGATGATGAAACAGCTAACTTCTGTGACGTGCAAAGGCGCTGTATAAGAGAGTCTGTCTGTGTGCAGTAGCTTTCTTATATAACAGTAACCAATTGGCAGTCAGGAAACCATGTATAATGCACACAGCACTTTAAAGTATGCCCTTTTTAAAACGGGAGTGGTGTATTTTGAATTTCAATAACTATTTGTCTGAAATAAATTACTTAATCTGAGTTCTAAAATGTATTTCTTCAGATTTTTTGTCTTATTATCCCTGCCTTATTTGTTGCAGAGTACCCTACTCTAATATTTACATTCTATTTAATTGTGGTCTCCTTGTTCACTAATCTATTTCTAAAATAAAAATGAGCAATAAAAAGGTGTGGAGCACCAGAATCAGACCATATTAAATTAATTTGAAAATATTTTGGCTATTGTTGATATCCAGGAATTTTCAAATGTATTTTTTTCCAGATAAATTCTGCAGAATTTATAATTATTGTTTTTTTTTATTATTATTATTTTATTAAAATGGCCAAATTGTGACTGAGGGCATTTGCATGTGCTGGCCAGTTTGTTTTCTGTCTAATGAATGAGAGTAGGCTACAGTTTTTTTTTTTTTACTTTAAAACGTTAACAGATTGCTATTTTCTCCTAATGATATTGTATACGATGTAATAAATTTGTATTTTAAAAATTAGTCTTGTTTTAATTTTTGTTCTTGCAATTTTTTAGGAAACATTTTTAGTACATCAAAAGTGTGGTTATGATGACATCTGACTAGTTAATGCAGTATTTAAATCAAATAGTATTAATTAATATTTACCCATAACCCACAGTAAATAAAAATAGTAAATAGTTACATAAAAAGCAACAACATGCAAAAAAAGACCTCATCCTTTCATTTTTTGTCATAGGATTGTGCATTAGATTGAATAGTATGTTAGATTAACAACACAGACTGATTTTTGTAGCACCAAGTTAAACTTTCTGGCTCCTTTATAGGAAGCAAATGCATTGAAAATAAACACAGGCCACAACTGAACATTGAGGATGATCTCCAAAATTAAACCAATTGACTTGTGCTGAAAACATGCTGTCCACCAGTCTCATTGAGGTGAAGTTAATAATAAATTAAACAAATAAAT